AATTAATGGTGTAACACTTGAATGGGTTGACCACTATCGGTACCTTGGCGTCACTGTCGGCTCTAACAAGGGAAAGAAAGAGGAGCTCAATCAACTCATAGGAACATGCAAAAGTCGACTCAGGGCTATCTTGAGGTTATCTTGAGATGATTTCGGGGCTTTAGTGTCCCCGCGGCCCGGTCCTCGACCAGGCCTCCACCCCCAGGAAGCAGCCCGTGACAGCTGACTAACTCCCAGGTACCTATTTACTACTAGGTAACAGGGGCATTCAGGGTGAAAGAAACTTTGCCCATTTGTTTCTGCCTCGTGCGGGAATCGAACCCGCGCCACAGAATTACGAGTCCTGCGCGCTATCCACCAGGCTACGAGGCCCCCTCACATTGTGCACATTGAGGGCACTAAAAGCTATGACCTAGAATGGACATGGAGCCTCTATTGCCGTGCTTAAAACGATGTACACAGCCTATGTGCGCTCCGTCATAGACTATGCCGCACCAGTTCTGTGCACCTACTCCCAAAGCGAAATGAAAAGGCTTGAAAGCATTCAAAATGAAGCCATGACAATCATTCTTGGAGTTCCAAGAACTGCCAAAACGTCTAATCTACGAGAGGAGTTGTCCCTCCCCAGTGTTAAAAGCAGAATTAAGGAGCTGAATGCTAAGCTTGCAATTAGGATAGCCAGAGATCCCCATTTCAATGATATTGCTAAGAAAAAACTGAGCTCTGTGCTACTTTCAGGGGGAAACAGGAGAAGCAAAAAATGGCATCACAGATCAGTCTGCTACCTCGAAGAGCTTCACCTGCTTGAGTAAGCCCGCGAGCTCCTGCCTGTAGAGAGGTTACCTCCCTGGGAGGATGACTCATGCAAGATTATCATCAATGAAATGGCAATGAAAAAATCCCACATGTTACCACAAGAAATGAGGCACAAGTATCTCGAGGAAATTGATAAAGAAGCCGGAGATGAACTAGATCAAATCTACACTGACGGGTCATCTAATCCTGTCAATGGCAGGGCTGGTGCAGCATACACGGTAATCAAGGATAATACTTTCCAACGCAGTAATGAAGAAAAAGCGCATTTTGAAAACTATGCCTCTTCAACGCAAGCAGAGCTAACTGCCATTGTTATGGCGTTCAAGTTTCTTGAACGGAACACTAATGTTGCAGGGATTTGCACTGATTCAAAAGCAGCATTGCAAAGCCTAAGTAAAAATCGGGCAGAAAATCTTGCAATAGTCGCTGAAATTAAGAGAGCTGTGAGAGTATTTACCAATCAGGGAAGAGTCATCAAGTTTCTGTGGATCCCCTCCCATGTTGGAATATGTGGGAATGAACGAGCAGATGTGTTGGCTGCTGAAGGCGCTGAAAGAGACCATATTGAATATTTCGTACCCAAGACTCTACTACAAACTAGAGGTATTATCAGGCAACCTCACCGTGACAAGGTAACTGAGGCAAGGAGGATAGAAGCACAAACCAGTGAATCTGTACAATGGTACAACATGGTTGCAGCTGGCAATCCCAATCATTATAGCCGAAGAGGAGGAGGACGAGGGAGAGAATCAGTAATAGCGAGAATCCGTCTTGGATACAAATATCCATGGAGATATGGAATGGAAACAACAGTTGATCAGCGAAGTTGTAGAATCTGTGGTGAGAGTGATGGACACCGCCTTGACCACTATCTACGTGAATGTGAACACCTGAGAGAAATCAGAAGTATGTGTAGAATAATAAACCCCCACATTGTTTGAGTTAGGAAAACACTATTTGTCAAATAATGATACTGTTCTTAAAAGATTCCCCCATTTTGCACCCGCAAGATAATGTAAGCTTTTAAGGGTTGACAGATGTTAATCTTCTTGTTTGAGGAGCTGTTCACTTGAGACAGTTATGCAAGTCCCAGCTGTGTCTGGGTACAAGTGACAGGATGAACAACCCAGCGGGTTTTCTTCCTATTGGGGAGTGTTGTACATCCTGCTATGGCGGTGTGTCTACTCACAAGATGAGTGGCGCTGCCCAATAAACTCGCCCCGTAGGGCAAAATTTACAATCTGTTTCTCAATATTACTTGCAAATTTTAGATTCAAGCCATTTTCTCCCTATTGAAGTCAAGGTAATTGATCGATAGAATGATGCGATATATATATATATATATATATATATATATATTAAATATGACCGAAAAAGTAAGATTAATAATTCTAACACGAATTTTCTCAATCTTTCGTACATTACGCTTCACTGTTGGAGGTAAATCAAAAATCACTTCTCCAAAATTCATTTTTATTTTTAGTCTGACGCGACACGGGCGCGTTTCGTAAAACTTATTACATTTTCAAAGACTTCACAAATACACAACTGATTAGAACTTGCGTTTCCCTGATTTTATATCTACATTTGAGTGAGGTGGGAAGGGTGATGTGGCATTACATTTGAGTGAGGTGGGAAGGGTGATGTGGCATTAACACAAGACAGAACACTAGGGGATATTAATAGGGTATTAAAAGTATCAACACAAGACAGAACAGAAACAATGGGTATTGAATAGAAGTGTTTGTAGAAAGCCTATTGGTCCATATTTCTTGATGCTTCTATATTGGAGCGGAGTCTTGAGGTGGGTAGAATATAGTTGTGCAATAATTGGCTGTTGATTGCTGGTGTTGACTTCTTGATGTGTAGTGCCTCGCAAACGTCAAGCCGTCTGCTATCGCTGTATCTATCGATGATTTCTGTGTTGTTTACTAGGATTTCTCTGGCGATGGTTTGGTTATGGGAAGAGATTATATGTTCCTTAATGGAGCCCTGTTGTTTATGCATCGTTAAACGCCTAGAAAGAGATGTTGTTGTCTTGCCTATATACTGGGTTTTTTGGAGCTTACAGTCCCCAAGTGGGCATTTGAAGGCATAGACGACGTTAGTCTCTTTTAAAGCGTTCTGTTTTGTGTCTGGAGAGTTTCTCATGAGTAGGCTGGCCATTTTTCTGGTTTTATAGTAAATCGTCAGTTGTATCCTCTGATTTTTGTCTGTAGGGATAACGTTTCTATTAACAATATCTTCAGGACCCTTTCCTCTGTTTTATGAGCTGTGGAAAAGAAGTTCCTGTAAAATAGTCTAATAGGGGGTATAGGTGTTGTGTTAGTTGTCTCTTCGGAGGTTGCATGGCTTTTCACTTTCCTTCTTATGATGTCTTCGATGAAACCATTGGAGAAGCCGTTATTGACTAGGACCTGCCTTACCCTACAGAGTTCTTCGTCGACTTGCTTCCATTCTGAGCTGTGGCTGAGAGCACGGTCGACGTATGCGTTAACAACACTCCTCTTGTACCTGTCAGGGCAGTCGCTGTTGGCATTTAGGCACATTCCTATGTTTGTTTCATTTATTTATTTAATAATATATGTCTACAGGAAAGACTGCTACAAAATATACTAATATATATATATATAGATACATATATATAAATATATATCCTGCTTCTGAAAACTGCTCACCACGTTGGCACCCCTAAACCAGAAAATAATTAATACAGAATATGCGGTCATATTCAATGAAACATGTTTGAAAGAAAACCTGCTGCCAGTATACACCAATATATATATATATATATATATATATATATATATATATATATATATATATATATATATATATATATATATATGTATATATATATATTATATATATATATATATATATATATATATATATATATATATGTATATATATATATATATATATATATATATATATATATATATATATATATATAATATATATATATATATATATATATATATATATATGTGAACAAGCCTGATTGGTCCCCAGGACTATATGCGACTGAAAACTCACACCCCAGAAGTGACTCGAACCCATACTCCCAGGAGCAACGCAACTGGTATCTACAGGACGCCTTAATCCGCTTGACCATCACGACCGGAAATAAGGAAGTGATAGCCGAAGCTATCTGAACCACTTCCCCGCCGGCACTCGGATGGTAATCTTGGGCATGGAATTTTATCAATCACCTCAATCTTTGGGGCACACGTGAGGAACACAAATGCGAACAAGCCTGAATGGTCCCCCAGGACTATATGCGACTGAAAACTCGCATATATATATATATATATATATATATATATATATATATATATATATATATATAGACATATGTCGTACCTAATAGCCAGAACTCACTTCTCAGCCTACTATGCAAGGCCCGATTTGCCTAATAAGCCAAGTTTTTCTGAATTAATATATTTTCTCTATTTTTTTTCTTATGAAGTGATAAAGCTACCCATTTCATTATGTATGAGGTCAATTTTCTTTTATTGTAGTTAAAATTAACGTAGATATATGACCGAACCTAACCAACCCTACCTAACCTAACCTAACCTATCTTTATAGGTTAGGTTAGGTTAGGTAGCCGAAAACGTTAGGTTAGGTTAGGTTAGGTAGGTTAGGTAGTCGAAAAAACATTAATTCATGAAAACTACGCTTATTAGGCAAATCGGGCCTTGCATAGTAGGCTGAGAAGTGAGTTCTGGCTACTAGGTACGACATATATATATATATATATATATATATATATATATATATATATATATATATATATATATATATATATATACACATTAGGACTTAAGGACTTTGTATATATAAATAAAATGAAACAATGACTTAGAATATTCCACATTTCCTACCCGCAGTCACTTGACATGACTCACTTTTCTACGGCCCGGTTCTTTCTCGAAATTTTATTAAGTGTTTCGGGGTATCTGATTTAAGGAGGGAGGGAATTCTCAGGGAAAAGCGTCAAGCCATTACGACTATATAGCACTGGGAAGGGGTCAGGATAAGTATTTGGGATGGGACGGGGGGAAGGAATGGTGGCCAACCACTTTTGGACGGTCTTCATGCAGGTCGGGATTGAACGCCGACCTGCATGAAGCGAGACCCGTAGTGTCAATCGTGTCATTAACCCCAACGGCCCCATATTATGGAAGAGGAGAACTGGTTCTGGTGCCTTGTGATATATTAGATGCTATCGAAGCAGCTGTCAGGATACTGGAGTTGTTGGCTGTCAGATTACTGGAGTTGTTGGCTGTCAGATTACTGGTGTTGTTGGCTGTCAGATTACTGGTGATGTTGGCTGTCAGATTACTGGTGATGTTGGCTGTCAGATTACTGGAGTTGTTGGCTGTCAGATTACTGGTGATGTTGGCTGTCAGATTACTGGTGATGTTGGCTGTCAGATTACTGGTGATGTTGGCTGTCAGATTACTGGTGATGTTGGCTGTCAGATTACTGGAGTTGTTGGCTGTCAGATTACTGGTGATGTTGGCTGTCAGATTACTGGTGATGTTGGCTGTCAGATTACTGGTGATGTTGGCTGTCAGATTACTGGTGGTGTTGGCTGTCAGAATACTGGAGTTGTGGGCTGTCAGATTACTGGAGTTGTTGGCTGTCAGATTACTGGTGATGTTGGCTGTCAGATTACTGGAGTTGTTGGCTGTCAGATTACTGGTGATGTTGGCTGTCAGATTACTGGTGTTGGCTGTCAGATTACTGGTGATGTTGGCTGTCAGATTACTGGTGATGTTGGCTGTCAGATTACTGGTGTTGGCTGTCAAATTACTGGTGATGTTGGCTGTCAGATTACTGGTGATGTTGGCTGTCAGGTTACTGGAGTTGTTGGCTGTCAGATTACTGGTGATGTTGGCTGTCAGATTACTGGAGTTGTTGGCTGTCAGAATACTGGAGTTGTTGGCTGTCAGATTACTGGTGATGTTGGCTGTCAGAATACTGGAGTTGTTGGCTGTCAGATTACTGGTGATGTTGGCTGTCAGATTACTGGAGTTGTTGGCTGTCAGATTACTGGAGTTGTTGGCTGTCAGATTACTGGTGGTGTTGGCTGTCAGAATACTGGAGTTGTTGGCTGTCAGATTACTGGTGATGTTGGCTGTCAGATTACTGGAGTTGTTGGCTGTCAGATTACTGGAGTTTTGGCTGTCAGATTACTGGAGTTGTTGGCTGTCAGATTACTGGTGGTGTTGGCTGTCAGATTACTGGTGATGTTGGCTGTCAGATTACTGGTGGTGTTGGCTGTCACTGGAGTTGTTGGCTGTCAGATTACTGGTGATGTTGGCTGTCAGATTACTGGAGTTGTTGGCTGTCAGATTACTGGTGTTGTTGGCTGTCAGATTACTGGTGGTGTTGGCTGTCAGAATACTGGAGTTGTTTGGCTGTCAGATTACTGGTGATGTTGGCTGTCAGAATACTGGTTGTGGGCTGTCAGATTGTTGGCTGTCAGATTACTGGTGATGTTGGCTGTCAGATTACTGGTGGTGTTGGCTGTCAGATTACTGGTGTGTTGGCTGTCAGATTACTGGAGTTGTTGGCTGTCAGATTACTGGTGATGTTGGCTGTCAGATTACTGGAGTTGTTGGCTGTCAGATTACTGGTGTTGTTGGCTGTCACTGGAGTTGTTGGCTGTCAGATTACTGGTGGTGTGTGTTGGCTGTCAGATTACTGGTGGTGTTGGCTGTCAGATTACTGGTGATGTTGGCTGTCAGATTACTGGTGGTGTTGGCTGTCAGAATACTGGAGTTGTGGGCTGTCAGATTACTGGTGATGTTGGCTGTCAGAATACTGGTGGTGTTGGCTGTCAGATTACTGGTGGTGTTGGCTGTCAGTTTACTGGTGATGTTGGCTGTCAGATTACTGGTGGTGTTGGCTGTCAGATTACTGGTGGTGTTGGCTGTCAGATTACTGGTGATGTTGGCTGTCAGAATACTGGAGTTGTGGGCTGTCAGATTACTGGTGATGTTGGCTGTCAGAATACTGGAGTTGTGGGCTGTCAGATTACTGGTGATGTTGGCTGTCAGATTACTGGTGATGTTGGCTGTCAGATTACTGGTGGTGTTGGCTGTCAGATTACTGGTGGTGTTGGCTGTCAGAATACTGGAGTTGTGGGCTGTCAGATTACTGGTGATGTTGGCTGTCAGAATACTGGAGTTGTGGGCTGTCAGGATACTGGAGTTGTTGGCTGTCAGATTACTGGTGATGTTGGCTGTCAGCTTACTGGTGATGTTGGCTGTCAGATTACTGGTGTTGTTGGCTGTCAGATTACTGGTGGTGTTGGCTGTCAGAATACTGGAGTTGTGGGCTGTCAGATTACTGGTGATGTTGGCTGTCAGAATACTGGAGTTGTGGGCTGTCAGAATACTGGAGTTGTTGGCTGTCAGCTTACTGGTGATGTTGGCTGTCAGATTACTGGTGATGTTGGCTGTCAGATTACTGGTGATGTTGGCTGTCAGATTACTGGTGGTGTTGGCTGTCAGGATACTGGAGTTTTTGGCTGTCAGATTACTGGTGTTGTTGGCTGTCAGATTACTGGTGTTGTTGGCTGTCAGATTACTGGTGTTGTTGGCTGTCAGAATACTGGAGTTGTTGGCTGTCAGATTACTGGTGGTGTTGGCTGTCAGATTACTGGTGATGTTGGCTGTCAGATTACTGGTGTTGTTGGCTGTCAGATTACTGGTGTTGTTGGCTGTCAGATTACTGGTGTTGTTGGCATTTAGGCACATTCCTATGTTTGTTTCCTTTGTATTTATTTATTTAATAATATATGTCTACAGGAAAGACTGCTACAAAATATACTAATATATATATATATATACATATATATAAATATATATCCTGCTTCTGAAAACTGCTCACCACGTTGGCACCCCTCCATGCTACAGTTCCCATCGTGACTGGAATGATCTATTAAATATATCATTAAATGGTTGACTACACTTACCATTCGCCCTCCTGTAGCAGCATCAATTGCGGTAGATTGTCTGGATAGCCGCAGATTGACTGAGAGAGCCACACACATGCACTGTACAGATAACAGTACATGATAACACACTGACAGAGCTCTCGCAAATATTTCTTGTAGGCCTGGGGACATAGTACGTTTAAGTTTATATATATATATATATATATATGTCGTACCTAGTAGCCAGAATGCACTTCTCGGCCTACTATGCAAGGCCCGATTTGCCTAATAAGCCAAGTTTTCCTGAATTAATATATTTTCTCTAATTTTTTTCTTATTAAATGATAAAGCTACCCATTTCATTATGTATAAGGTCAATTTTTTTTATTGGAGTTAAAATTAACGTAGATATATGACCAAACCTAACCAACCCTACCTAACCTAACCTAACCTATCTTTATAGGTTAGGTTAGGTTAGGTAGCCGAAAAAGTTAGGTTAGGTTAGGTAGGTTAGGTAGTCGAAAAACAATTAATTCATGAAAACTTGGCTTATTAGGCAAATCGGGCCTTGCATAGTAGGCTGACAAGTGCGTTCTGGCTACTAGGTACGACATATATATATATATATATATATATATATATATATATATATATATATATATATATATATATATATGCGAACAAGCCTGATTGGTCCCCAGGACTATATGCGACTGAAAACTCACACCCCAGAAGTGACTCGAACCCATACTCCCAGGAGCAACGCAACTGGTATCTACAGGACGCCTTAATCCGCTTGACCATCACGACCGGACATAAGGAAGTGATAGCCGAAGCTATCTGAACCTCTTCCCCGCCGGCACTCGGATGGTAATCTTGGGCATAGCATTTTATCAAATCACCTCAATCTTTGGGGCACACGTGTGGAACACAAATGCGAACAAGCCTGAATGGTCCCCAGGACTATATGCGACTGAAAACTCGCATATATACATATATATATATATATATATATATATATATATATATATATATATATATATATATACACATTAGGACTTAAGGACTTTGTATATATAAATAAAATGAAACAATGACTTAGAATATTCCACATTTCCTACCCGCAGTCACTTGACATGACTCACTTTTCTACGGCCCGGTTCTTTCTCGAAATTTTATTGTTTCGGGGTATCTGATTTAAGGAGGGAGGGAATTCTCAGGGAAAAGCGTCAAGCCATTACGACTATATAGCACTGGGAAGGGGTCAGGATAAGTATTTGGGATGGGACGGGGGGAAGGAATGGTGGCCAACCACTTTTGGACGGTCTCGGGGGATTGAACGCCGACCTGCATGAAGCGAGACCCGTAGTGTCAATCGTGTCATTAACCCCAACGGCCCCATATTATGGAAGAGGAGAACTGGTCCTGGGGCCTTGTGATATATTAGATGCTATCGAAGCAGCTGTCAGATTACTGGAGTTGTTGGCTGTCAGATTACTGGAGTTGTTGGCTGTCAGATTACTGGAGTTGATGGCTGTCAGATTACTGGAGTTGATGGCTGTCAGATTACTGGAGTTGTTGGCTGTCAGATTACTGGAGTTGTTGGCTGTCAGATTACTGAAGTTGTTGGCTGTCAGATTACTGGTGATGTTGGCTGTCAGATTACTGGTGTTGGCTGTCAGAATACTGGAGTTGTTGGCTGTCAGATTACTGGAGTTGTTGGCTGTCAGATTACTGGTGATGTTGGCTGTCAGATTACTGGTGATGTTGGCTGTCAGATTACTGGTGTTGGCTGTCAGAATACTGGAGTTGTTGGCTGTCAGATTACTGGAGTTGATGGCTGTCAGATTACTGGAGTGGTTGGCTGTCAGATTACTGGAGTTGTTGGCTGTCAGATTACTGGAGTTGTTGGCTGTCAGATTACTGGAGTTGTTGGCTGTCAGAATACTGGAGTTGTTGGCTGTCAGATTACTGGAGTTGTTGGCTGTCAGAATACTGGTGATGTTGGCTGTCAGATTACTGGTGTTGGCTGTCAGAATACTGGAGTTGTTGGCTGTCAGATTACTGGAGTTGTTGGCTGTCAGATTACTGGAGTTGTTGGCTGTCAGATTACTGGTGTTGTTGGCTGTCAGATTACTGGAGTTGTTGGCTGTCAGATTACTGGAGTTGTTGGCTGTCAGAATACTAGAGTTGTGGGCTGTCAGATTACTGGTGATGTTGGCTGTCAGATAACTGGAGTTGATGGCTGTCAGATTACTGGAGTTGTTGGCTGTCAGATTACTGGAGTTGAGGGGCAAGATAACTCACTATGGGTTTAATTATCCTTTTTCGGTGGAAAAAACATGCTTTTAGCTTTAAAAAGAAGTTTAAATTATTATTAGCTTAGACCGAGAAAAACATAGGAGAAACAACCCCTCCCCCCCACCCCCAATATAAATATTGTTCAACCTCAAAGAATTAATGTGGCACCTCAAAATAACCTCAGATAACCTCAAGATAACATCAAGATAACCTCCTCTCCAGGGTGTGTGTGTGTGTTTAGCTTTATTGAACGGCTTCACACCATAGAACCCGTAGTCCAATATCTTGAGTGTATGTGAAGGTTAAACACTCCTGGAGGCACTCAAGACCTTCTTTAAGGCACTCACTTACTCGACAAATAAACTGAAGCAATTATATACCATTCATGGAGGATGTGAAGCAACAGTTGCATACAAAACATGAATATAATAAAGAGAATGAAAAATAAATATCTGAGAATACTTGACTTCAAAAGCCTTCACAACACGTTACTAGTAAATGTTACTACTAAATGTTACTAGTAAACGTTACTACTAAATGTTACTAGTAAACGTTACTACTAAATGTTACTAGTAAACGTTACTACTAAATGTTACTAGTAAACGTTACTACTAAATGTTACTAGTAGACGTTACTACTAAATGTTACTAGTAAACGTTACTACTAAATGTTACTAGTAAACGTTACTACTAAATGTTACTAGTAAACGTTACTACTAAATGTTACTAGTAGACGTTACTACTAAATGTTACTAGTAAACGTTACTACTAAATATTACTAGTAAACGTTACTACTAAATGTTACTAGTAAACGTTACTACTAAATGTTACTAGTAAACGTTACTTCTAAATGTTACTAGTAAACGTTACTACTAAATGTTACTAGTAGACGTTACTACTAAATGTTACTAGTAGACGTTACTACTAAATGTTACTAGTAAACGTTACTACTAAATATTACTAGTAAACGTTACTACTAAATGTTACTAGTAAACGTGACAGTTTACTAAAATATTTCCTTCCCAGTAAACTTTAGAGTTTACCTCGACATTTGGAGTACCAACAGTCACCTGTAGTTTGAGGGAAGGTAACTAGTCATTAACATTAACAACCAATTAGCCTTCGTGCGAACAGCTGACAAAGAACAACAACTAAAACAAGAGGTGTGGGAATTTAGCTATGTGGTCTACACACGGAAGCAGACAATGCCCAATATTTCCAGGGCCGTAAATCAGTAATTACACTTCAGGATAGTGACTGACGCCTCGTCAGGCTCCTGATGTGGGTTGCCCAATATCAGGGCCCACCCCAGGGGGCCCCTGAGCACCTGGGGTGTGATGCCTGGGGGTGTTCCTTCCTGAGGTGTTAACCCCCTTGATGCGCGCGGATGCTGGTGAATCTTTGGAAGTGAGGACGCAGGGGGAGATGAAGAGTCAGAGGTGAGGGAGAGGAGGATGCCAGGGACCTCGTTACATCTATGCACCGACATATATTGATTGTCCTTGCAATACGGGGGTGGCAACCGAGCGACTCCATAACAGACAGGACGGCACGTTCCATATATATTTTCCCCCCAGGGAATTAATCTCCTCAACTTCCGTTACCAAGTGCGATTTAGTCCGGGAAACTGTGTCACCAAACCCACTAATCTTTGTTGTGTCGGAGTCACGTATACACACACACGACTGACTGCTGCTCACACCTGCCTGCACTACGCTCTGCAGATCTCCATATACATATGTGCGCGCGCATACACATACACAAATGTGTGTAAATCACATTATATATAAAATTTTTTTTTTTAATTTTGAGGCAATGGAGTGACTCGAACTAGCGACCTGGTGATTCCCAGACACTTGTCTTAACCAACTCAGCCACGATGGTACAAAAGTCGGCCAAAATTGATCAATCATTCAATGGTTGCAATCTCAGTCAATAGAATGGTGTCCAATGCAATTTTCCTCACTCAAGAGATTGTAATCGTTCAATTAACTTGGCTATTTCGTGCAAAATTGTGGATTGTAAATCGTTTACTGAAAGAAATATTACTTAATCATCACTTATAAAAAGTAGTGAATTAGATCATATTAATGTCAGTGCAGGATTATACTAACTAGATAACTTAATAATTGGTAGGAATTGTGATAGGGATGAAAGTAGTGTATGAATGAAGGAATACGCAGGTAATACTTATGGTCTTATCTCACCTTCATTGATGGTTTAGCATGTGGTTATTTGCCGTGTCAGGAGTAGTTGGGTATTTAGTCCCAAACTCCAGTGTCATCTTTCTGTATTTCCTTCATAACGTGTTGAAATACGAAAACGTTCGCAACTTTCATTTCATTTTCATTTATATATATATATATATATATATATATATATATATATATATATATATATATATATATATATATATATATATATATATATATATATATATATATATATATATATATATATAATATATTACACTTATTTATACAATTTGCACAACGTTTCGAACCGCCATGGTTCATTCTCAAGAGAAAGGAATTTTCAGAACTGGTTGATTTTATACCCGCACTGGGTATAGTGATAAGACAATAAAGGTGAAAACATGGGGGAATACATAAGAACA